TACATACATACGTACGTACATACACATATACATACATACGCACATACATACGTACGTACGTACATACATACGTACGTACATACACATATACATACATACGCACATACATACGTACGCACATACATACATACACACATACATACATACATACGTACATACATATATGTACATACATATGTACGCACATACATACATATGTACGCACATGCATACTTATGTACATATATACCATACGCACATACGTACGCACATACACACATAATTACATACCTACATACATATGCACACACATACATACAGCAGGAAAAATAAGTATTGAACACGCCACCATTTTTCTCAGTAAATATATTACTAGAGGCACTAATGATATGAAATTTTCTCCAGATGTCGGTAACAACCCAAGTGATCCATACATACAAAGAAATCAAACCATAAATGTCCAGGAATGTACATACGTACATAAAACAGTAGGTACGTGTTAAAAATGGCAAAGCAATATCTAAAAACTAAAAGTAGCAGAGAAAGAAAAATCCCAGATAGCACAAGATGTCTGGCCCAGTTCTGGCCACACAATGCACACAGCACTTGGTCCAGATACTGCCCAGAATGATGGCCCTTTGATGTAGCATGCCATTGTTAAAACCAGTGCCAGACCTGGCCCACATCTGGTTGACAAACAGCCTGCCATGCCAGCAGTGCCAGCTTGACACTAGCTCTGGCTCACGTGAGTCTAAGTGAGATTGTTTTGAAAGAACTAAAGAGATTCATTGTATTTCTTTGGGGGGGTGTTGTGGAATACTGATTATGTATCACCTGGACACTGTCCACTGTTCCTGTTCCTGTTCCTGCAGATATGAACACTTGTTCATATCTTGTGATATCCTTCCGGACGTCATCATCCGGTTGACCCACTTTCACGTATCAGGATGAGACAGTTATGATTKGTTGTTCATTATCGTATGGCGATAACTGACAGTATAACATTGCTTGCCCGGCCTATGACAGCCGGGCCCACATCTTACAGACTTCGTGATTGTCTTCTGTTCCATGTCTGCCCATCAATAAATGACTTTATAATCATACTCGCAAGACTTGTCTTTTAAGCGCCCTTTTCGCCGTGTTTCTGACTATCTTTGCCGCGACAGGGGGAAAATTAAGAAATATAAAATATGAATGACTAAAATAAGAAGTAGATTACAAAATAAATAAAAACAATAATAATGTTTGCATTTATCTCAGACCACATCTCTCAGATCATTGAGCTGCTTGGTAAAATTCCACCAGCCGTTTCCTTGTCGGGGAAATACTCTGCAGAGTACTTCAACCGCAGAGGTAAGTCTGCAGTTTTCTGTACTTCTGCCTGAAAATGTTTGAATATTAGTTGTGAAATAAAACGGTGTGTTTCGTTGTGCAGGTGATCTCCGTCGCGTCAGTTCGCTGAGGCTCTGGAGCCTTTATGATGTTCTAGTTGAGAAATACAACTTCCTGTTGGAGGAGGCCTCTGGATTCTCGGATTTTCTTCTGCACATGTTGGATTACCACATGGAGAGGAGGGCAACCGCTGCACGGTGCCTCCGACACCCATGGTTGACCTCCTGTTAACCTTCCAAAAGCCCTGCAGTCCTCAGTCAGAGGCTTTCAGCTGCAAGTTGTGGCTGATTTCGGGGGATTTTTTTTTAAATCTATTTTTATACTCAGGGAACTCCTGCGAAATGTCATGATGCTTTTATCAGAAATAGAATCGTCTCTGCTGGAGCCCCATAAGCACTTTATGCTTTCATTAATTTTTTTCTTGCAGCTCCTTTTTCTGTGTTTTATAGGCAAATGATCCTGAGCCTCTCAATATGAAATCTTTTATATGTTAATGACAGAGCGGACTCTGCACAGCCAACACAGAGCCATGTACATGTAGTCTTTTATTTTCCTTCATGGCAAAACAAACAGCTTGTCAAGAACAATGTCTGATTCAATGGATAATAAACTCTTTTTTTTTTTTTGCATAGTGACAAGTCATTTGAGAAAATGCATCATATTATTTACAATATTCTTGCAGCAAAATATCTGCAGGCAGAGTTATGAGAAACTACACTGACCGGCAAAAAGACAGCAAAAAATTATACATTTTTTAATGGCACAAAATCATAATAAAACTCCAAGTTAATTATTTCAGAGAGAGATTAAAAATAAAATGAAAAGTTTGTTTTATGAACAACATGAAATATTGAATAGTTTTGTTTGTTTTACGAAATGAAATACTATTCATGTCGTTTTTTGAAATCCCTAAAACTGTGCATAAGATCATCCAGTTTTTGATGTAAACCAAGATTTTCTGTTTTGCAAAAAGAGGAAAAAATCAACTTAATATATTTTATTTAATGCTTTTGTTAAAGAAAACTTCTGATCAAACAGACGTTTTAGGAAAGCTCCATATGCCGTTTCAGCAGCTCACATTAAACACTGTTTATTTTAAATAACACAGGGAAGATTAGTGTTTAAATCTAAATTATATCCAAAACAAAACAGGTATGCTAATGCCAACACTTCAAAGCTTTTTTTTTTCCTTCGGCAGAGAAATATGAATAGAACAGGGCTATTCAACTGGCGGCCCGCGAGCCACATCCAGCCCACGAGTGACCAAAGTTCGGCCCGCCATTTGGTTTATTCGTCTCTTAAGTTCAAACCTCCGGTTTTAATTATTATAAGTTCTTTCACTTAGACATAGATGTGTGGTTTCTACAGAAACCTCTGAATCTTGGCTAGAAGCTGGTAAAAAAAATTCTGACCATCCAAGACAGTTAAAACTACAAGCAGGTGAAGATAAAACTACAAAAGTGAAAATGAAATTGGTTTAATATATTGACAAATCAAAGATGTCAAAATAATATTTGTGTCAAATAGGAGGCAGAATGTGTTCTTTTTTATTTTATTTTTTTATTTTTGTTTAATTATCACTACTATTATTGCATAGGTTTCTGTATGTTGTATCCATGATTAAATGCAGCAAAATGACCAAATTCAAAAGTAACAGATCTTTGTAATACTTGGTTTATTTACATAATGACTTTAATTGCTGGATGTTCGGCCCCTGAGCTGATGGCCTGCAGTAACTGTGGCCCCCGGAGTGATTTAGCTGAATAGCCCTGGAATAGAAACTAGTACAAATATCGTATACAGGAACTATAACATACAGTTATTGACCGTTTACTACCGTATACTGCAGTTAAAACGGTGCTTTGACCTCTGCAGTTTCCAGTCTGGGGCTAGATGCATGTGTAAATAAAGGTTTAGATGTGCACCATAAATGCACGTAAAGTATTTACACGTTTAATACCCACTGTTAGCGTTCAGGGTGCAAATTTCAGGCTCTAATGATATTTACATTTTGAGTGACCAAAACACCACAAATCAACACGACAGCAGCTGATACGCTCATTTCTGCTGTTTTCATGTAGAACTTATGCATCACAAAAATAACTCGACCCGTCTTGCTTAGTCCTCCACATGATCAAAGTTATTTCCTTTCCTGTGTGATGACTATTAAAAGCATTTCGATAACTCCACCCACGAAATCATCTGATCCAGCTGTAGGCACGGCACTCCACCAGTGGGCTTTCCTTATAAATGACCTTATATCCACACTCTGTCCGGACCCGGCGACACTTCTTGGGCCATGAGGTCGGTTTCATCGGCCTGCAGGGAAGAGAAGAATGAGTCAGCCTCAAAGAAAAAAAAAGACTTTTATCAAATTAATGAACACTGGCCCAGAGGGGCAATAATCAACTCACGAGTAGCAGTAGAAACCAAACTCATGACAGAAGCACTTGTCACAGCCTCTCCGGAAAGAATCTCCTGGTTTGAAGTATTTGTCCTTGTAGGAACAGATTCCTGAGGAAATAAGAAGCACCAGAGTTACACAGAGGGCCGTGAAAAGTATTCACCTTACAGAAAAACAACCACAATGAAGTGTGTGATGACCACCCATGAGTCATTCACATGGCTCAGCTGAAACTCACAAACTGATAACCCGTCTCTTTCAGGACTTTCTAGCCGAGAACAGATTTTGTGGTTCCATCAATTAAAGCAGACGATGGGATCGTGGAAGTCCTGCAGGAGGGTTGGGACATTTTTGGGTGGACTTTTTATTTCTTTTTTTTCCAAAGTTAAATCAATAAACAAACATTACCATGAATCCAACATGTAGCAAATAGATAAACTGAGGCATAAATTACCAGTGGCAGAGTTAGGATTTTTCTGAGTAAGGGGCCACAATATTTGTTCACCATCAACACACATGTTCAAACACTTGTATGTAGTTTAAAAAAGCTTGCAAAGTAAATTCTCCTTAGCAATTTCACACGCATTTTTACTGTACAAAAATAAAATACTGTATTTATTCAAGTATAATACATAAAATTTAATCCATAAAATCATCCATAAAGTTGGGGGGTAGTATTATACTTGGATAAATATTTTTACTTATTTATTTTAACAGAAATTTCGGCTTCATTCGTAAAATGCCTGAGTCTGGAAATGAGACCATGACATAAAAAGCAGCTGAAGCGAGCTCACCTGTGACACTCCTCCGTGCTTCAGAGTGAGATAATAACAGATCCAGGCAGGTGACATGATGTGAAAAAAGGGGAAAAAAAGCAGTCCTGCTCCTTAGTAATGATAACGAACTAAAGACATTAGTGTGTGACCGAGCCGCTCCTCGAACAACAACAAACACATGTTTGTCTGTAATGGCTGCCGTCTACCGGTGTTCTGAAAAAGTTTGTATCCCTGAAAAAAGTTTCCCCACCAGAGGGGGCACTCGCGATTAGTAAGTAATCTGCTTTTCCCCTTGAAGATGGTCCAAATCTTATGAAGTCTCTGACTTTTGTGTTGGCGCATCTTGGTGGACTATGTGTAAAATGGAATTTATGATTTTTAAGCTGGGGGGGGGGGGTCGTATTATACATGAGATCGTATTATACATGAATAAATATGGTACTCGCAATCACACATGTGAGAAAATCCAGCCATCGTTTGTCAGTTGAAAGACTTTTTGCAGGATTGTTCAGATTTGCTTAAGAAAAGAAGAAGACTTCCCTAAGCTTAGTTCATGCTGGACCTTTCAACTCATCAGCGCCTCCAGTGTTTGGACATGGAACTGCATCCGCCAACATCGCTCCCAGGTAAAGGACAGATGAATGAAAGAAAGGGGGCACTTCAGGGGGCCAATCAGATTTCAGCTGGGGCCAATGCCTCTGTGGCCCACCCCTAGAACCGCCCCTGTAAATGAATGTATTTCAGTCAGATAGGCACAGATTCAGTGAGCACATCAGCTGAACTCTGCTTCGCTCACAGTGTGAACTTTGCACACAAAAACGTGATGAGTCGCGCTCTAAAGCGTCGGCTCGAAGAGTCCGTACTTCGTAGTGAATCAGAAGAGCCGACTCCCATCAGTGAGCTGGCTCCCCAATTATTTTTCTTTCTCTGGCCCTGTGACCAATCACATGCATGGATGTAGGATATGGGAGAGCAAAAGGTGCTCGAGGGCTGTTATCCTGCATGCTTCTCGTGTTTCTCTGTTCCACACACCTGATTTGAATGATTAATCAGCTTCTGCAGAAATTGCAAAAGGTAATCCAGTCACTGAATCAGTTGTGTTGTAGCAGAGAAACAAATAAAACATGAGGACCAGACTTGCCCACCCCTGATTTAAGATCAAACTATTATATGAAAACAGAGAGGGGAACAGAATCACACTAGATCCGTGAAATAAAAGTTATAAGTTTGATTCAAATATTAAATAAAAGTACGAATGTCTGCTTTTTTAACAGAACACATACACAAAATTAGGCAATTGTAAAGGCTTCTCATAAAAACAGTAAATGTAAAAGGGTTTATAGACACAAAACATTCATATTTGCCAAGTTAAGCTAAAATACGAGTCTGCAGATAAGTTAAGAGCTGTTTGGGAGCTGAAAAGAGCTGAACTTCCCACTAACGAACCCGCCCCTCCCTGTTCATATTTGCTTTATCACAGTGGTTCCCAAAGTTGTGGTCGGGACCCTTTTGTGGGTCACAAAACATCAAGGGACGGTCCCAAGATGATTTCTAGACATTAATTTAAATGCAAAAGAATGGGATGTTTTCGCCATGACTATTGCATTTAAAAATAATAATAATCATAAATAAATAAAATTAATATTGTAATTATTAAGTTTGTTTATATTGCTATTATTCCCATGTTTAACAGAGTTATTAGCAAAGTTTGTACACATAAACAAGTAATATCTGGGCTCACAAATGCCTGCAACTGCTATTTTGTGGGCCAGAAGCTGAAAGTTTGAAAACCACTGCTCTATCAGGTTCACGGCTCCTGAAGCAACAAAGTAGCTCCAGACCATTACACTGCCACCACCATGTTTGACTGTTGGTCTGATGCTGCTTTTCTGAGATGCAGTGTAAGTTTTATGTTGTGGGTTCAAAACGCTTCAACTTTTGTTTTGAGTCCGTTTGATATTTTTTCCAAAGGTCCTGCCCCCCTGAAGTGCCCCTGTCCTGTCACTCATCTGTCCTTTGCCCGAGAGTGATAATGATGGATGCAGTTCCTCGTCCAAACACTAGTAGCGCTAATGGGACAAATAGTAAAGTCCAACTTGAATCAAGCTTAGAGAAGTCATCTTTTCTAAAAAAAGTTTGAACAATCAACTGACAAACAATGACTGGATTTTCTCACATGCTGTGTTTGAGAGTATTTAATTTACTTACAGTAAAAATGAAAGTAAAACTGGTGAGGAGAATTTACTGAAAGCTTTTTTTTAAACTACATTACTTTCCAAGTATTTGAACATGTGCGAAAGTATACACCTTACCAAAACAAGGGATTTGTGTGCAACGATGGTGAACAAATACTTGGCCCCTCTATGAATATTGTGGCCCCGTGATGGCCCCTTATTCAGAAAAATCCTACATCCGCCACTGGTCATAGTTGCTCTTGGAGTAACTTTGTTCAGCTGCTCACGTGACAGGTCACCACTGTTCCACGCTTTTTTTTTTTTTGATCATGACTCTTAGTTTACAAAGTTAGAAATGACTTTGTAATGTTTTCCAGATGTTTCTCATCTGTTCTCGTATGTCTTTAGAACATGAGAGCCTTTAGCCAACTTCCAGCTAATTTGTCTTTTCACATAGGGCTAGATTTGTTTGCATTGCACTTGCAAAATACAAAACTGTAGTTAACTGTTATTGGATCACATTTTTGACCCTGTTGGGTAAAAAAAAATGTACTTTTTCAGGACATCCAAACTTTACTATAAATGTTTGTCTTCTTGTTGAAAGGCAAAAGCTTCACTGGGAGAGGTCAGACACATCCATCCATCCATCCATCCATTTTCTGTACACGCTTCTTCCTTTTCAGGGTCAAGTCTATCTTCCGCAGTGAGTTCACCCCTCGCACCTGAGTGCGTAGGAGGCCGTCCTCGTGGGGACTGTCACCTTGAGAAAGAGATCAATAGGAACACACTGATCTGTTGAAACAACCCCACAGGAGAGCCGTGCAGAGTCGGCGTACGGAGGACAAAAAAGTTCTCGGTCAGCCGGTTGGTATAACTGCTCGTGAAAAAACAACAACCCTTCAGCAGGGTTTACACGCTTTTAAATGGTAATTGTGCAGAAAAAAAAGTGCTTCTCACCTTTTTTGCGGTGCACCGAAGCTTCAGAGCATGCGCTGCTCAACAGGATGAAGGTTAAGGCGAGCGCAAAGATCTTCCACAAACAGGAGCCTGGAGCATTATTGACCTGATGTGACATTCTGATAAAACATTAAGCATAAACTCTAAGATTTTAAACCTATAACACAACCGTCCAGTAATAACCGGTCAAGTTGTTCTGAAGTTCTTGCAGATGCCGGCTAATATTTATAGTCTTCCAACTCCACTGAACATGGAGAACAAAAAAAGAACTCCAAAGGTTTAATTTTCTGGTTTCCTTTAGGTGTCCAACTTTTGTTTCAAGGTGAACCGTGTTTGGAGTTTGGACGTGTACCCGTGCATGTCTAAATATTACCTTTGGTGGATGTTAGCCCCCATTAAAGCGTGGGTGAGAAGATGAACCCGTGTCATTGTTGCCCTCTGAACAGCTGGAGTCCGTTGTCTGCCTGTTTATCATGGTTTTATTATTTATCACCTTCACGCTGGTGCAAACAGATGCTGACTCGTGAAATTATTTTTAAACACCGCTGAGTCTGTCAGAAAAAAAGTGCTGAAACCACCCTTTGTTTGATGGACCTAATTACTGCGACAAAACGAGATCCGACATCATTCTTACTGAACTGGAGACTTCAACACAGTGAGAAACACTCATAATGATTTAAGGGAGTTCCCAATTAAACAATCAAACTTACTGCCTTATTAGACGAATCAGTTCCAGCTCTCTGTCTCCACAACGCACCTGGTCACAGATTCTACAGGATGTGTGATGAACCGCGGGACAGTTTGTGGACAGCCCCTTGCTTCCTGGCCGCCTGAGGCCAGAAACCATTTAAGGCGCCATGCTCTGACAGAAGAGAAAACAAATCAAACACCAGTGGACTGGAAGGAAGTGGAGGAGGCTGAGGGCCGCCGCAGAGAGAATCCACCATCCTCTGTGTCAGCTCTGCAGTCACTCAGGATAACTCCGGGTTGTCTGATGGCTTTATGTTTGCACTTTGTGTTTTCTTCAGTGTGGCAACTGCTCCTCAAAGTGGCACCATTGTGAAACGAGATTTTAGACTTAGTTTGACTAAATTCTAATGTTCAGGGTGGAATTTCAGTTTTTCAGTGAACCTGGTACGTCGTTGAATTCAGTTTTATGATGTCCTGATTAATTTGTGTCTTGCTGTAGTCAAGTGGGATCTTTGTTTAGTTATTTGCCATTAAAACTCTCTTGTTCAGGGACGGAGCTAGACATTTTTGCATGGGGTGGCGCAAGTGATTTTTAGGGGGACTCATAGAAATTAATTAAAATGCTCTGGATTTGAAAATTCATGATGGCCTCCACAGTTTAATAGATTATTTTTAGTTTTGTGTAGGATAATAGAATGATCCAAAAAGACATCCTGTTAGTCCCAACTAAGATAACTGCTAATGCTAATGCTAATTAACCGCAGGGCTATAATTAAGCCATTTTTAAACACACACAGCTGAAAATTAGCTTACCGTATTTTTTGGACTATAAGCCGCACCGGACTATAAGCCGCACCCGCCATTTTAAAAAAAAATCTGCGAACATTAACATATAAGCCGCACCGGACTATAAGCCGCACCCCCAACATAAAAAAAACAGTACACCCAAATTTGCCATCAAAAAAGTAAATTCAACATCAAAATATAAAAATCAAACCTTTAGGAATTAAAGTTCGGAGGAATACGGTTCATTCAATTGACCTTATTTTGGTAGTTTTCTTTAACAGTTTCTGGCCCAACAAAACGTCTCATTCATCTTCCTCCAGCATACTGAAAACATCGAAGTCCTCCTCTTCAGTGTCGGAGTTAAACAAGCTGAGAAAAGCTGCGTCACACAGCGGTATCTGTTCAGTGTCGGAGTTAAACAAGCTGAGAAAAGCTGCGTCACACAGCGGTATCTGTTGTCCTCCCGGGGTAATGCTGGCTCTGAAGCTGTGGTGGGATAGCCCTCCCGCTCCAGCAGACGTCACTGCATGGGATTCCTTCCCCGGGGAGTGCAATGAGGAAAAAAAAGTCAGCGGCTCTTCACTCGACGTTTATCCACAAACTGGTCCTGGATTAAGTTCCAAAGTTTTTATCAGTCAGATTCCACCGTGAAAAATGTCTGTTTTATCCCCTTTTATGAGTTTTTGGCCATTGACCATCTTTAAATCATTGCTTCCTGGTCAACAGTCAGCTCTGGAAGCGATCGCTTTTTTCTTTTTTTCTTTTTTTCCTTTCTTTTTTTGAAGCGAGTGGTTGAAGCAAATGGAGCATAAGAGYCCCCTGGTGGCTGAAGAAAAAAATCCATGTATAAGCCGCACCAGACTATAAGCCGCATGGTTCAAAGTTCAGGAAAATGTTGCRGCTTATAGTCTGAAAAATACGGTAGTAGTAAAATGTAATTTCAATTTTAAAAAATCCAAGATGGCTTCCAAAGTGAATTTCAAATGGTTACAACTCAACCATTTTTAGAAACACTGAGCAGAAACTTGGTGTGGTGGTGGCCAAGAGCAACCCCCATGACATTCTGAAAGCTACCTAAGCTAGCAAAAAAAAGCTTTCTAATTAAATGCCAACCTTTGAAATGCCACATGCAAACCCCAACACCACTTGTCAATCATTTGCAGGTGGCTCCTGGCGTGGCTAATGAGGCGCCACCCTGGCCAGCCCTCTGGCTCCACCCCTGTTCCTGTTCTGTTTAAAGCTGTTTCTTCAATGGTTCTGCGGTCAGATAGAACAAAACTCTAATTTTAAGGTCATTGATAGATTCAATTTATTTAATCAAATTATAAAAAAATAAAAATAAAATAATCCAAATTGCTGCAAAGTAGAGAGATTACAAAGACTGATGAATACTTTTGCAACATACTGTAGTACTTCAGCCTAAAGTTGATGTCAGAACGTTTGATCTTTCTGCTTTTGGAGCTTCTGTTTTCTAACTTTCCAACATGTGAGTGAAACTCAGTGAAATAACGCGCAGACCTCAGTTTCTCTGCAGGCTCGTCACACAGCAGCCATTTGGCAGATTGACACGTTTCTAACTATCTTCATGTTTTGCACAGGGCTGCAAAGAAAATCCTCTTTTTCCAAATCCACTACACTGTTCTTGGGTGACCTGTTTAAAAGTCTGTCCTCTTGTTTAAAGCTCTCTTTGCCACAGCGCACTTCACTTCACTTCACTTCACTTCACTTCACTTCACTTCACTTCACTTCACTTCACTGGGACTGTGAGGTAAATGCTAACTTTAATGTTTAATTCCAGGAACTGTACGTCCAGCCTCACAACTCTGCTGCTGCTGGACTCTTATCTCGTCTCTTTCTTTGAACTATTTTTGCGTTATTTGTCAGTCTTTTATCTGAGAACATGTCTGCTACTCATTTGAACCAATCCGACTCTCTGCACAAGCTGTTTTTATGACTAATGCCTCCTCCTCTGGAGAGTATTCTTTTTTGCAGCACGTCGTCTGTTTTTAAAGGATTTTCAGTTCTGAGTATTACAGGTGAATGTGCTCAAAGATGTTCTCATGGATTATTTTTTTTTTAGCAACGAGTACACTGTGAAACTTGTTGACACAGTTTATCTCTATGTATTTATTCATTAGATTTATTTATTTGTTTTGGTGTGTGAGCCTAATAAAATAATTGCTATTCTAAGGTATATTTTTTCTTTATCGTGCAGGTAGTCAACAAGGGTCTTGTTTTTAAACCAGTAATTTAATTTTTTTTGTTATTTTGTAATATGTAACATGGCTCACAAAGGCAAAAGGTAATAGTGTTTGCTTGCATGTCATGTTAGCAAAACATCTTAATTATTGGAAACAAGCTGATCCAAGATGGCCACCACACTAACTATTCTTGACTAACACAAAAAGAGTGAGCTTAAGTCTATTTTACAGACATTGAGCTAAAACTTCTTAAGTTAGAAAGCGGGGAACAATAATTACCTAAATAAAACAGGAAGTGGCTGAGCTGTGGGACAGTCAGAGAAAAGGCAAGCCTGATACACATGTGGACAAAACTGTTGATGCTCCTCGGTTAATGAAAAAAAAAAACCACAGGAAGCTTTCTGACACCGGGCAGCACATTTCTCTATAGAATCCTTGATAGTCTTGAGATTCCATTGAACCCTGCACAGATTCAAGACCCCCTGTGCAGCAAAGCAGCTCCGGAACATAACAGAGCCTCCGCCATGGTTCACATAGGGACAGTTTTCCCTCTGTGAACACAGAGCTGATGTGTCTTGCCCAAATGTTCCATTTTTGTCTCATCTGTCCAGAGGACATTGTCCCAGACGCTTTGTGGCTTGTCAACATGTAGTTTGACAAATTCCACTCGGGCTTTTTTATGATTTGGTGTCCTCCTTGGTCGTCTCCCATTAAGTCCACTTTGGCTCAAATGACGATGAATGGTGCGATCCGACACTCATGTTCCCTTTAATCTGTTTATAAGTTTTTCTGGGCTCTTTTGTTACATTCATATTATCCGTCTCTTTGATTTGTCATCAGTTTTCCTCCTGCGGACACATCCAGGGAGGCTGGCTACAGTCCCATGGATCTTAAATTTCTGAATAATATGTGCAACTGTTGTCACAGGAACATCAAGCTGCTGCTGCTTGGAGATGGTCTTATAACCTTTGCCTTTAACATGCTTGTCTATAATATTCTTTCTAATCTCCTGAGCAGAGGTTTATGATAACTAAGTACGTTACAGTACTTGAGTAGTTTTTTTGAGGATTTGTAATTTCACCAATTATTTTTTTAAAAAGCTACTTTCACTTTTATTTCATTACATTTCAAAGCTAAAAAATAACCTTTTACTTCTTTACTTTAAAATGTAACACCTAGTTATTCGTTACAAAATTAAATATGTTCAAACTCATCAAGAAAAAAGATGTTTCTGCACTCTAAAAATGAAGAGTTGAATTTACTCAACAAAGTCATGTCAACTGGCTCCACTAAGATCAATTTACTCAACCTGGTTTGGTGGAACCAGTTTGGTTCAGTAAATTCAACAGCTTAATTTTTAGAGAGTGTGTAAAAGCACTTTTACTTTTACTCTCCCAATTTTTGTGAACAGTTTTATGACTTTTACTGATTACATGTAGACACCTGTGATGATAATTAGTGGACACACCTTGATTTAACATGACCGTTTGGTCACATTATTTTCAGGAGTACCATCATTTCTGTCCAGGCCTGTTTCATGAATTTTATTTTAAAAAGTGTTGAAGCAATGTCTGACTTTTGTTTACTTTTAATAGAATTTATATTTATTATTACTTTTGTCAGATTCAAATTATATCTGTGACCATCGTGGGTTTTCCTTTTATTAAACAAGGGGCACCAACAATTTTGTCCACGTGTGCACGTGGAGTCTTACTGGTTTGTTCGGTCTGACCTGTCGGAATGACCTCCGACTGTATTTTACGAGTTCTTTAAGCAAATTTCACGGCTCCGCCTCCTCTTGTCCTCCTGCTGTTGTCATGGTGGGGGTGTTTGGTTTGTGCAAAGCACTTATTGTTGCCTGCAAATTTACACCCCATCAAGCAATTCATTGTACGTTTTGAACATTATGCATCTGAAATGTTTGTCGCTGCTGTGTTTTTGTGTGACCCGGCACTCTTAACAAAATCACCTTTCTTCTGTAAATGCTTAGTTAAATGATGTAAAAGTACTGTTGACATTTCTCTTAGGGAGGTACAAACAGCTGCAATTATGCAAGAAAAAAGTGCCACATGTCAGCTTTGTAATCAGGTTGTGATAAAAAAAAATTAAGTGTTTTTAAAGTTCACTTTATTTTTTTCCCTCACAGACTAATAAATACTTTTTTAAAAACGTTTTTTAATTGAAGCTCAGAGAATAATGGCTGCAAAATCAACTTATTTACTGCAATAACTGAATGACGAATTAAATTTAGTATCTAATCATCGTTTTGCATGAGTAAAAGCCTTTTAGTGGTCCTTATATTTCTGTTTTCTTTGAAATGCAAGTATTTGGACCTAACTAATATCCTTTCTTTTCCACGCTTCCCGCAGAACCTTGGAAGTTTTGTCCAACATCTTGGTGGCCCAGAAAGTTTGGCAGCTTGGATCAAGAAGTAAAATAATTAGAAGCAATGGCTGTGGTGACAGTGAGGTAGGTTGAGGTCAGCAGATTGTTCATGAATGAATGACAGAGGCAGACTGTGGTTTGGGTGAAACTAAACCAGGTTTTCTTCTGACATGTGGTGGGTCTGCTGCTCTGAGAAGCAGACAAACAGACCACACAGACTGGTAACAGACTAATTAGTTAAAAACCACACATAAAATAAATTGATTGTTTAAATAAAATATTTCATTCTTCAGAAATTTGCATTTGTTGTTCCTAAAACATCTATACATAGAGTCTTTAATGTCTTCATACTATTTTTTTTCCATGAATTATGA